AACAAAGGCCCGTGGAAGCTGAGTGGCCTAATTTGTCGAGTTTCAGTTGCGAGTTGTGAGTTGTGAGTTGCGAATGGCAAACCCCGACACAAATGGGCCAAACACCCGTAGAACCGCACTCACTAAGTGGTCCACAAAGGAATTTCTGCGGAGGCTGCACGCGTAGGTTCCAAAAGGTCGGATCCTGAATGCCACAAAGGGTTTCCTCGCGTTTTCTCATGATCGGATTGAAAGGATTATGAGTTCGCGATCTCGGTTGTCTGTCTGTTTGTTTTTTATTGTTCAGTAGCTTCTTAGCTGCTTTGGGACTTCTGCCAGGACCCCTGGCACTTGAGTGTTCATTGAGTTTTACGCATCTGACGATTAGCATGGGCAATCCGCTTCTGGAGATGAGAGGATCTCCAGATTGGCAACAATTGTGTGTGCAATGGGCTCGGCTCATTGTGCTCTAACACTTTGATGGGAATCAGGGGTTGTTCGAGGTGGGCGTGTACTGACAAGTGACGACGATTTTCCCACATTAAGTGCGCTCAAAATGCGGCTCAGCTCAGCGGGATTCCCTTTTTTCGCACTATCTGCAACTGTGGCCGCTTTTGTATCTGAGTGCCATTGAAAAGGCGTTCAAGCGCGCAATTTCGCATGTTATTTTCGCTAAATTGCGCTAATCGCTTAAACTTTTCAGCGACCACTCGTCGAGGGTGGGGCGAATGGCATTGCAACCACATTGTTTACGACTTAAGTCCCATTTAATATGTTGTCATGGCGAAAAAGGTTTATGCCGCATTTGAATTAGGCTTTTCTTGGGTGCAGCGCTTTGACACAAGTCACTGATGAGCTGGGAAACTTTCCACTTCATTTTGATTCTTTTCATTTCGCACCCACACCCCAAAGAAGCTCTTCAACGGTCACTTGAGGCTTTTTGTCGCATCCTTCTATTCAAATCCTATTCTATCCGAAACAAATTACATGTTCATGTGCGAAGAGACTCTCTCAAATGGGTCTCAAGGACTCGTTTCAATTATCCTTTCAGGGCTTTCAGCGGAAAATGTGAAAAGCTGACGACATCAGTTCATACCCTGGCCAGCATCCAACCAATCAGTAGTAGTTTCCAGCTAGGATGCAGTTCCTTTAAATCCTTTATCGACAGTTGACGCTGCACATTTTGGGGCTCTAAACCCTTGAATTTAGAGCCTGACAGGAATTGCGGAAGGAAGCTGCTTGGGAGCGGGTAATTCAATCGATTATAGGGACTTGGTCAGCGACACTTTGTGGTCAAACAAAGCCGGCTGCATAAAGTACCAGGAGTTATGGGCCTCGGAAACCCGAATAGTGTGGATAGTGGATGAATAGATTCGATTTCAATGAGAATAGGCAGCCGGCCAATATCCTTTGAGTGACTCCCTACGGATAAGATCTAAGAAATAGTCAAGCTGTGTGCGAGGGCCTCATTAAACGGTATTTTTGTGGCCAGTCGTATCTCACAGTTGCATCTTGTTATCTCGTCAAGAGATTCGAGTGTGAGTGTGCGTGGGTAAACTCTCTGCTTGGCGACAATTTTGCGTCATTTGCGGTTGGCCAAGAGAGCGGGGAATCGTGCGGAGGGACCCTGAACCCAGCCATCCATCCATCCAACCATATAGTCGAGCCAACAAAAGGCGCCTTTGTTTGGATCCTAAGTAGTCGTATCTTGAGGAACGTGTATCTGTATCTTGGGCTGCTAAACTGCAGCTTGCATGTGTCGCTGCTCCTGTGAGTGGGCACCCTAATGTGCTTCTAATGTGCTGCCACAGACCGCATGAGTATCCATCTATTGTCCCTCGCCAATCGACGGCCTTTGTCTTTCGATTCGAGGCGTGGGATACTGCTAACCGTTTGGCGTTTTCAGCCGGCGGTGCGGAATACGCAAATACACACAACAATTGCATTATCTGCGGGAAACTACTGCAGTGCGTTAATCTCAATCGCGGTTCAACGTGAACCTAATTGAAATTGTTCACCCTAAAAATTGATGTCGCCAAAGATCAGGGAACGCGGCTGTTCGTCGCAGGACAAGAGTTCAGTGGACAGCCATGTATGTGTAGAATTAATCTCCCAACTCTCGCCTGATGTGGACATCTCATTGGGTCCTCAGCGGACTGACGACTGATAAGATGCGACATTTGTATAGTATACTCGTATATTTATGTATTTATAGCTAATTATTTGTTCGTTATAAGCGTGTGGAAGTTTTTTAATATTTTTGCTCTATGCTCTCGCTTTGTTTACATTTTCGGCCTGGAAATTGACAGTCCGACAGAACGAAAACAACGACGGACACTCGACTGATAGATTAGCGAGGTTGGTTTTTCGGTCTGAGGAGGCTGAGGTAGCGGGTTGGCAATCTCGAAAGCACTTTTTGATGAACGGACGTGCACAAGTCTCTGCTTAAAAGCAGGTCAATTGACCTCGCCTCAGTCGCTCTCTCGAATGGCGCTTATCAGGCACTCGTAGAAACAAAATGCTTCTTATCAACAACTGTCTGCAACGACGCTGGGTCTCTGAGTGGAAACATCAAGAAGAAAACAGCTTGTAGAGATTCTTCCCCCAATTTATTGGTATTGATGTGTTTTTTTATTTGCTGAAAACAGCTCTTTGTACTTACGATTGATCAGTTTGAACAAGGGAAGCCTTATTGCTCCAATATGCTTTCTTTTATAGTTTATACAAATACTGCAAGGAGTGGAGAGACATGAACTTATTTTGAAATCAACCATATTTACGAGAAAAATTCTTATCTGAAGTTAACAAAATCTCCAGCTCTATTAATCCAGTTTAGTTTGAACAAAGGATCGTAGCCTCTGTAATAGCCATCGATTAGGTGGTCTAGAAGCAGATCCAGTTATCAGTCAGGTACCGTTGAATCGGCATGAATCGGAACCATTAATTATTTGCCTAATCCATCAGCATCCGTCAACAGCTCGGGCCTCTCACCTCGCCCAGTCTCACCTTTGCCTCCGACTTTCTCACACTCTGCCGGATCTGGATATTAATTAACCATGGCAAAATAGCGAAACTGACCATTAACACCGAAAAGGTTGAGAAGCCGAGGCGAACGGACGAGCAATGTCAAAAACTATTATCTCTCTAATGGGCGAAAACACACGCGTTGTGTCCTGAAAGGGGATACTTTCTCGGCTCATCAGATTCCGGCACGGATATTTCATAACTTCCACTGACCGCTGGCCAGTTCAAGTAGAGCAACCAAAGCAACCCCTTCGCACAGCTTGAGACTTCTCTGGAATCCTTTCTTCTCTTTGCTTAAGCCTTTGTTTTTCCCGGCATTGTCCTGGGCACCGGGCACTTTGCATAATCAATAATCCTTGTCGCTGGCCCGCCATTGTCGCGCTGACCAACACGTCTGAAAAGATAAATTATGGTTTGTAGTCAAATTGAAGGCAAACAATCCCGGACAAAGACCAGACCAAGGGAATGCAATGGGCTGGAAGCGACCGGGATGGGGTGGTCATCCGATCGCCCCGAAGACAGCTGCCGTGTGCTGGAACCGGCCAATCTCCGAGGGACCCATGGGCCACAAAAGTTTGTTTGAATATTTTGGGATTTAAGATTCAATTTGATTACCTTCTTGGAGAGAGCTTATTGGGCACAAGGAGTTAAGGATGCCAAGATAAGAACGTATGTCTACATTTAAAGCAGGTGGTTTCCTTAAGAATCTAATTAGGAATTATGGAAAATTCTTAGGAGCATACAACACTTTATTAAAATGTAGAAATACCAATTGCAATATTTATTTTGATACCTATTCTATTCCAAAAGGTCACTGGTGTGGAGCGATAATCATATTCAATCATTCTGCATATCCTGTTTAAATATTTACATACCTATGCTGACAAAGACATACATATATTTCCTTGAATCGTACCGAGAATCAAATTTAGCCAATGGGCTTGGCCAAGTCCCTGGCTAAAGCAAACATAATTACACATTTATTTAAATTCGACGATGTATTTAACGGCATTGGACGAAAATAAAGCAGATAGTTGACCTTTTCCACTCGCTGCAATCACCAAAAGTCCTTAGACAAACGGCCAGCTGTGCAAATGTCAAGACGTAAGTGTCAAAATGCTCATTAATAACGTCATCCTTAACGGACGATGGCTGCAGGATCGGCAGCGATGTCCTTCCTGGGCAGGACAAACACACATGGACGGCTGTGGCGAAAGATGGAATCGATGAGAATGCAAAAAAGCAAAGGTACGGCTAAGCCACATCATCAAAGCGAAGTCTGGACAATGGGCAAAGTTCGTCAAAGGATGTTTGCGCAAGTAAACATTGGAAACTATACGCCAGGATACGGCAGAAGGATATGAGCTGTGAGTCCCTCGTGTATGGCAGTGTTAAATTGAAAAATTATGATAAATAGCACAATGGCTTGGGGGAAGTTGCACAACAACCAAACCCACATCCCACTGAGAGAACGTCTTCGCGACGGTGTGAGTCACATGCAAAAGGATATTAATACCACGGCAGGACGAAAGAAGGGGTTGCGCCCAGGACGAGCGACCGGTCCCGAGTCAGTGTTGCTAAAGTGTGCACTGGCCTATAAAGGAGGCCCATTCGCCACGGGATATCATTTACGATGCCGTGTCGTTTGACCGCCCAACGGGACTTTGGACCGCACCGTCTTAACCCCTTCTCCTTCCAGCAGCTTCCGCATCCGGAGGTCCTTTGTTTATCTATCCGGCAATAGTTCACATGAGCTTATCATCCGCAGTGCGAGTGTTTGCGAAAAAAGTTTGCCAATTCGCGGGGGGTGTGCGAAGGGGTTAGCCCTCCTGTGCTCCCTCCTTTTGGCCCGTCTGTTGACAATTGTCGTTACTTTGGCTTTGGTCTGGTGGGATATTCTCGGCTTAGTCGTGTAATGCCCCTTTGTCTTTATGGTTCGACCTGGACGTTGGCTGGTGATTACAGGACCGGGATTTGGACTGTTATCACGGGGCACATAACTTTGGATACTTTATTCGTCAGCGGGGTAAAACTAGAAATGTGGGATAAACCATCAGTCGATGTAAATGTTATGCACGGTGATGGAGTTTTCCGGCTTGTAGCCACACTTCTGGGCCCACTCCTCCACCTCCGTCTCACGGATAACGCGTCTTGTGGTCACTGAATCAATGGTGCACATGGTGTCCCCCTCCAGCTCCTCGCCCATTTGGTCCAGTTGGTCGAGGCGATCGTAGATGATTGCCTGCACTCCGTGCCTCTTCAGCTTTTCGCGGATCTCCAGGTCAGTGGTGGAACTACCATAGACAAAAGCTTTCATATTGATCTGGCGCAGGTATGCCATTGTCGAGGGCTTGTTCAGTAGTGAGTTAGCATGAAGAGTCAGCCCCAGAAATTCCAGACTATTGCAAAACTTGATGGCAAAACGCTGAACGCTTACTCTTTGGTCTGCATACTGAACGGGTGAGTCCGGATCCTCCATTAGTAGAGTCACGGGATATACATTCTGCTTATACCGAACCATGGCACAGATGTCGGCATCGAAGCTGCAGAAGACGATACGCCGCTTTCCCGCCTTATTCAAAACGATCTCCAGGATAGTATCCACGTAGAAGTTTCGATCGAAGGTGGGTTTAAAGCTGCCGCTCTCCCAACGCCGCGCATTGGTCATCTGGGGCCACTTGATCTCGATGAGGAAGCCCATGTCCATGTGCAGATTCTCCTCATCCAAGAGGTCAAGAAGCAGGGGAAAGGGGCGCTGCTCCTGCAGCATTCGATCACAGGACATATCGCAACCTTTGCTACTAGCGAATCGCAGGACCTTCACCTCCTTGAGCTGTTCGCAGGTAAATGCCTCCAGGGGAACGGCAATGATATCCTTTCGTTTTGATCCTCCCATAGCGAGCAGCATTAGTTTGTTAAGATTCTCGTAGGCAAATATCAGCAGATCCTGATTATCCAGAATATCCTCATAACTTGGCATTCTCTGCAGCAGAAATCGCAGTACAAAATCGTGATACACCACCACTTGGGAGTCCTGCGTGAGCTGGACATCCATTTCCACCATGTCCGCATTGGCCAAAACAGCCTGCTTGAAGCCATACAAGGTATTCTCCCTCACCAAATCGGATCCCAGCCGGTACGTATTTCCCGATCCTTTGTGACCGATGTTCATGCACATGTGATTTTTGCGCCAGTAACGCTCGTAGGTGTGACTCAAGTCGCAACGGAAATTTGGCAAGGGTCGAATCATTAAATACCGCACACACATCTCCATCAGTGGACGGTGAGTGGAGGCGCAGGTGATCTTCACCCGGGCAGAGCCCTCGGTGTTCAGCAGCTGATCTGGCATCAGGAACCCGTAACCGTAATGATATGGTGGTTCATCGGAGCCTGCTTTACGGGCGTATGTGTACAGATCCAGGCGGTAGAGCGTCTCCTCTGGAAAAGCGATGGCACAATGGAATAACTCCATGTCCTCCGGCCCACATCGAACTCCGAATTGTGGCTGCGTTGCTAAAGGATTATGGGAGCACAGATTGACCACCTCAACTTGGGCCAGTCGAAGATCGTGGTTTTCTTTATTCATTTTCCGGGTGCCCAGATAACGCGATAAGCGTGTCTCCGATGAAACCATTTTGAGGGGGTCGGCTGGTTCGGTGCAAGGATTCTCAGGAACCTCAAACATTGGCTGCACATGGACGTACAGAAGCCTCTGTTTTTGGCGCTGCCAGCTGAATGGAGCATTGAAGATCTTCAGGTGCAGAATTGTCTCGGTGGTGGCCCAGCCGCGGTCCACCATGTTGGCCTCATCATCCTCGTGTGGTTTTCCTAAGGTGTCGCAACGCTTTAGCATATTCTGACATGTGCGAATAACTCTGGGCTCAAGTTGCGACTCCCAGAAGCGGATATACACCTCATCCGTTTCGGGATCCTGGACCACAACGCAGTACCGATAGTGGATGTCGATGTTACGAGGAATCTCCAAGGTTGCCTCGAACTGACAGCACTTGCATAGGCAGTTGATGCAGTCGTTCCTTTCCAAGATGTACACCTTCTTGGGATCCCAGTTCCCGAGAGACGGACAGTTGCCACTAATGGCCACATACTCATTCCCTTTGAGTGGATGGTGGAACACCACACAGAAGGGCCACTCTGTAGTCGGCACTGGAGGTGGAGGTTGCGGCTCTTGTAGCTCCGGAACATTACTGAGTCCGTCTTCCTCGGGTTTTGGCTCACACTCCTCCCGATCGGTGGCAAAGAACCATCGATGCATGGTAAGATGCCAGTATCAAATGAGAAGAGAATTTCGGAGTCTTTCTAAGTACTATATTATAAATTGGTATCAATTTGGTAACAATTATTTCAAGAAATTTCAGTGTGTGCTTGACAGACATTTCGGATCATTTTCAAAAAATGTAAGAAATGCCCCAAAGCTGAAGTTCTAAACTCCATAACTCAACTTATTTTAATCGGATTTTGAAGTGGCATACCTCTAAATGTTTCTGTCGCAATTTTCTAAAAATCTGCATTCAAATTTAGAAATTTATTTTTTTTTTAATTTTTCGCCATTTTTTGATGTGATGATGTGGAAATTCAAAAAATGTAAGAAATGTCCCAAAGGTGAAGTTCTAAGATCCATAACTCAGCTTATTTTAATCGGATTTTGAAGTGGCATACCTCTAAATGTTTCTGGCGCAATTTTCTAAAAATCTGCATTCAAATTTAGAAATTTATTTTTTTTTTAATTTTTTGTCATTTTTTGATATGATGATATTGTATAAATTCAAAAAATGTAAGAAATGCCCCAAAGCTGAAGTTCTAAGATCCATAACTCAGCTTATATTAATCGGATTTTGAAGTGGCATACCTCTAAATATTTCTGGCGCAATTTTCTAAAAAGCTGCATTCAAATTTAGAAATTTATTTTTTTTTAAATTTTTTGTCAGTTCTTGATGTGATAATGTAGAAATTAAAAAAAATTAAGAAATGTCCCAAGGCTGAAGTTCTAAACTCCATAACTCAACTTATTTTAATCGGATTTTGAAGTGGCATACCTCTAAATGTTTCTGACGCAATTTTCTAAAAATCTGCATTCAAATTTAAAAATTAATTTTTTTTTTAATTTTTTGTCATTTTTTGATGTGATGATGTTGTGGAAATTCAAACAATTTAAGAAATGCCCCAAGGCTGAAGTTCTAAGCTCCATAACTCAACTTATTTTAATCGGATTTTGAAGTGGCATACCTCTAAATATTTCTGGCGCAATTTTCTAAAAAGCTGCATTCAAATTTAGAAATTTATTTTTTTTTAAATTTTTCGTCAGTTTTTGATGTGATGATGTTGTGGAAATTCAAAAAATGTAAGAAATGCCCCAAGGCTGAAGTTCTAAACTCCATAACTCAACTTATTTTAATCGGATTTTGAAGTGGCATACCTCTAAATGTTTCTGGCGCAATTTTCTAAAAATCTGCATTCAAATTTAAAAATTAATTTTTTTTTTAATTTTTTGTCATTTTTTGATGTGATGATGTTGTGGAAATTCAAAAAATGTAAGAAATGCCCCAAAGCTGAAGTTCTAAACTCCATAACTCAACTTATTTTAATCGGATTTTGAAGTGGCATACCCCTAAATGTTTCTGTCGCAATTTTCTAAAAATCTGCATTCAAATTTAGAAATTTATTTTTTTTTTAATTTTTCGCCATTTTTTGATGTGATGATGTGGAAATTCAAAAAATGTAAGAAATGTCCCAAAGGTGAAGTTCTAAGATCCATAACTCAGCTTATATTAATCGGATTTTGAAGTGGCATACCTCTAAATATTTCTGGCGCAATTTTCTAAAAATCTGCATTCAAATTTAGAAATTTATTTTTTTTTAAATTTTTCGTCAGTTTTTGATGTGATAATGTAGAAATTAAAAAAAATTAAGAAATGTCCCAAGGCTGAAGTTCTAAACTCCATAACTCAACTTATTTTAATCGGATTTTGAAGTGGCATACCTCTAAATGTTTCTGGCGCAATTTTCTAAAAATCTGCATTTAAATTTAAAAATTAATTTTTTTTTTAATTTTTTGTCATTTTTTGATGTGATGATGTTGTGGAAATTCAAAAAATGTAAGAAATGCCCCAAGGCTGAAGTTCTAAACTCCATAACTCAGCTTATTTTAATCGGATTTTGAAGTGGCATACCTTTAAATGTTTCTGGTGCAATTTTCTAAAAATCTGCATTCAAATTTAAAAATTATTTTTTTTTTTAATTTTTTGTCATTTTTTGATGTAATGATGTTGTGGAAATTCAAAAAATGTAAGTAATGCCCCAAGGCTGAAGTTCTAAACTCCATAACTCAGCTTATTTTAATCGGATTTTGAAGTGGCATACCTTTAAATGTTTCTGGTGCAATTTTCTAAAAATCTGCATTCAAATTTAAAAATTAATTTTTTTTTTAATTTTTTGTCATTTTTTGATGTGATGATGTTGTGGAAATTCAAAAAATGTAAGAAATGCCCCAAGGCTGAAGTTCTAAACTCCATAACTCTGCTTATTTTAATCGGATTTTGAAGTGGCATACCTCTAAATGTTTCTGGCGCAATTTTCTAAAAATCTGCATTCAAATTTAAAAATTAATTTTTTTTTTTAATTTTTTGTCATTTTTTGATGTGATGATGTTGTGGAAATTCAAAAAATGTAAGAAATGCCCCAAGGCTGAAGTTCTAAACTCCATAACTCTGCTTATTTTAATCGGATTTTGAAGTGGCATACCTTTAAATGTTTCTGGTGCAATTTTCTAAAAATCTGCATTCAAATTTAAAAATTAATTTTTTTTTTAATTTTTTGTCATTTTTTGATGTAATGATGTTGTGGAAATTCAAAAAATGTAAGAAATGCCCCAAGGCTGAAGTTCTAAACTCCATAACTCAGCTTATTTTAATCGGATTTTGAAGTGGCATACCTTTAAATGTTTCTGGTGCAATTTTCTAAAAATCTGCATTCAAATTTAAAAATTAATTTTTTTTTTAATTTTTTGTCATTTTTTGATGTGATGATGTTGTGGAAATTCAAAAAATGTAAGAAATGCCCCAAGGCTGAAGTTCTAAACTCCATAACTCAACTTATTTTAATCGGATTTTGAAGTGGCATACCTCTAAATATTTCTGTCGCAATTTTCTAAAAATCTGCATTCAAATTTAGAAATTTATTTTTTTTTTAATTTTTCGCCATTTTTTGATGTGATGATGTTGTCGAAATTCAAAAAATGTAAGAAATATCCCAAAGGTGAAGTTCTAAGATCCATAACTCAGCTTATATTAATCGGATTTTGAAGTGGCATACCTCTAAATGTTTCTGGCGCAATTTTCTAAAAATCTGCATTCAAATTAGGAAATTTATTTTTTTTTTTAATTTTTTGTCATTTTTTAATGTGATGATGTAGAAATTAAAAAAACTTAAGAAATGTCCCAAAGGTTAAGTTCTAAGATCCATAACTCAGGTTATTTTAATCGGATTTTGAAGTGGCATACCTCTAAATGTTTCTGGCGCAAATTTTCTAAAAATCTGCATTCAAATATAGAAATTTATTTTTTTTTTAATTTTTTGTCATTTTTTGATGTGATGATGTTGTGGAAATTCAAAAAATGTAAGAAATGCCCCAAAGCTGAAGTTCTAAACTCCATAACTCAGGTTATTTTAATCGGATTTTGAAGTGGCATACCTCTAAATGTTTCTGACGCAATTTTCTAAAAATCTGCATTCAAATTTAGAAATTTATTTTTTTTTTAATTTTTCGCCATTTTTTGATGTGATGATGTTGTGGAAATTCAAACAATTTAAGAAATGCCCCAAGGCTGAAGTTCTAAACTCCATAACTCTGCTTATTTTAATCGGATTTTGAAGTGGCATACCTTTAAATGTTTCTGGTGCAATTTTCTAAAAATCTGCATTCAAATTTAAAAATTAATTTTTTTTTTAATTTTTTGTCATTTTTTGATGTGATGATGTTGTGGAAATTCAAAAAATGTAAGAAATTCCCCAAGGCTGAAGTTCTAAACTCCATAACTCAACTTATTTTAATCGGATTTTGAAGTGGCATACCTCTAAATGTTTCTGGAGCAATTTTCTAAAAATCTGCATTCAAATTTAGAAATTTATTTTTTTTTTAATTTTTTGTCATCTTTTGATGCGATGATGTTGTGGAAATTCAAAAAATGTAAGAAATGCCCCAAGGCTGAAGTTCTAAACTCCATAACTCAGCTTATTTTAATCGGATTTTGAAGTGGCATACCTTTAAATGTTTCTGGTGCAATTTTCTAAAAATCTGCATTCAAAATTAAAAAATAATTTTTTTTTTAATTTTTTGTCATTTTTTGATGTAATGATGTTGTGGAAATTCAAAAAATGTAAGAAATGCCCCAAGGCTGAAGTTCTAAACTCCATAACTCAGCTTATTTTAATCGGATTTTTAAGTGGCATACCTTTAAATGTTTCTGGTGCAATTTTCTAAAAATCTGCATTCAAATTTAAAAATTAATTTTTTTTTTAATTTTTTGTCATTTTTTGATGTGATGATGTTGTGGAAATTCAAAAAATGTAAGAAATGCCCCAAAGCTGAAGTTCTAAACTCCATAACTCAGGTTATTTTAATCGGATTTTGAAGTGGCATACCTCTAAATGTTTCTGACGCAATTTTCTAAAAATCTGCATTCAAATTTAGAAATTTATTTTTTTTTTAATTTTTCGCCATTTTTTGATGTGATGATGTTGTGGAAATTCAAACAATTTAAGAAATGCCCCAAGGCTGAAGTTCTAAACTCCATAACTCTGCTTATTTTAATCGGATTTTGAAGTGGCATACCTTTAAATGTTTCTGGTGCAATTTTCTAAAAATCTGCATTCAAATTTAAAAATTAATTTTTTTTTTAATTTTTTGTCATTTTTTGATGTGATGATGTTGTGGAAATTCAAAAAATGTAAGAAATTCCCCAAGGCTGAAGTTCTAAACTCCATAACTCAACTTATTTTAATCGGATTTTGAAGTGGCATACCTCTAAATGTTTCTGGAGCAATTTTCTAAAAATCTGCATTCAAATTTAGAAATTTATTTTTTTTTTAATTTTTTGTCATCTTTTGATGCGATGATGTTGTGGAAATTCAAAAAATGTAAGAAATGCCCCAAGGCTGAAGTTCTAAACTCCATAACTCAGCTTATTTTAATCGGATTTTGAAGTGGCATACCTTTAAATGTTTCTGGTGCAATTTTCTAAAAATCTGCATTCAAAATTAAAAAATAATTTTTTTTTTAATTTTTTGTCATTTTTTGATGTAATGATGTTGTGGAAATTCAAAAAATGTAAGAAATGCCCCAAGGCTGAAGTTCTAAACTCCATAACTCAGCT